GCAGAAACCTTAACCCTGGAGCTGAGCCCTGACCTAGCCCAAACTCTTGTGCTCTGGGCAGAATCACCTGCTCCTGGGGCAGATTTGGGGCAGGCTCAGAGGGCTCTGTCAGGCTCATCAACCACAGTTAGCAGCACAAACACTTCAGAAGGAGCTAAAAAAACCTACTGGGGACACTACCTGGCCCAGACCTTGGAGACTAGGGTTGAGACATCTTCTAGAAGCACCAGAATTCACCACTTTGCCAAGCAAACACCTTTGACTCAAAGCTGGAAACTTCTAGCTTGGCTCTGTGTAGGGTAAGGATTTCTGAGTGAAAATAATGACTTTTATAGCCACTAACCCTCACAAACCCACACTGATGTGCATCACTTTTGGCTCAATCCAAACTGGAGATGCAGCAAACAAAGCTTTGATGGAGATTGTGGCAAAGATTGAGTGAGACCTTTGCAGGGGAAGGGGCTGGGAGGAAGATGAGGGTTAAAGACATGGTGAAACAGCAAAGTTTTAGCCAATATTAACTGATTCATCACACAATAAACTTTCTAAAGGTGGTGTTGAACTAGTATATACCTGGTCAAATTAATGGCTGCAAGTTGTTGATGTTTGAAAATATTTGAAGCTGATGCTGTGACAAATCTGTGAAGGACTCACAGATGAGAGTAAGAAACTTGTTCCTGTAAGAAATGTTCTTTTCCTCATCCCAATTTTCTCCCAAACTCCTGAACTTCCTGAAAATCGGAACAAAAAAAAGCTTCATCACCAGTTTGTGTTTCCTATTCTTCCAGACCCCAATAGTGAGGTGTCCCTGCCCCAGCTCACACACAAAGTGAACTCAGCATGTCTTAAATCCCCCCCAAAAACCTCCAACCATTTCCTTGGTGTCTCTTTTATGCTTCTTCCCTTGCTCATCACAACTAGCCCCTGGATAAATCCCCTCAAAAACCCCCAACCATTTCCTTGTTGTCTCTTTTAGGCTTCTCCCCTTGCTCATCACAACTAGCCCCTGGATGGGATGAACACACTTGGCCACTGAAACCATAGGCACAAGCACATGGGGTTTATTTTGGTATAAACAACTTCTTCATGCTGAACTCTCAAGTTCTTAAATGTTCTTGGACTGTGAAGTGGATGACTCTCAAAAACCCCCAACCATTTCCTTGTTGTCTCTTTTAGGCTTCTCCCCTTGCTCATCACAACTAGCCCCTGGATGGGATGAACACACTTGGCCACTGAAACCATAGGCACAAGCACATGGGGTTTATTTTGGTATAAACAACTTCTTCATGCTGAACTCTCAAGTTCTTAAATGTTCTTGGACTGTGAAGTGGATGACTCCAGAAGAGCACTGAAGCTTTGCTTCACACACCATTAATCTCCTCCCTCTCCAAACATGGTTTGTGTCAGCCCCAGCTCAGCCAGGAGCTTTGTGTCCCTGGGACTCAGGAGCTTTGTCCACTTGTACCTCCACACCAGAGGCTCAGGCTCAGTTGTTTCTTGGCTCTTTCACCCATTCTGCCCTATTTTATCACCTAGGCTCTGTTGTTTCTTGGCTGTTTCACCCCTTCTGCCCCATTTTATTGCTCAGGCTCAGTTGTTTCTTGGCTCTTTCACCCATTCTGCCCTATTTTATCACCTAGGCTCTGTTGTTTCTTGGCTGTTTCCCCCATTCTGCCCCATTTTAGTGCTCAGGCTCAGTTGTTTCTTGGCTCTTTCACCCATTCTGCCCTATTTTATCACCTAGGCTCTGTTGTTTCTTGGCTGTTTCCCCCATTCTGCCCCATTTTAGTGCTCAGGCTCAGTTGTTTCTTGGCTCTTTCACCCATTCTGCCCTATTTTATCACCTAGGCTCTGTTGTTTCTTGGCTGTTTCACCCATTTTGCCCCATTTTATCACCCAGGCTCCGTTGTTTCTTGGCTGTTTCACCCATTCTGCCCCATTTTATCACCCAGGCTCAGTTGTTTCTTGGCTGTTTCACCCATTCTGCCCCATTTTATTGCTCAAGCTCAGTTGTTTTTTGGCTCTTTCACCCATTTTGCCCCATTTTATTGCTCAGGCTCAGTTGTTTCTTGGCTGTTTCACCCATTCTGCCCCATTTTATTGCTCAAGCTCAGTTGTTTTTTGGCTCTTTCACCCATTTTGCCCCATTTTATTGCTCAGGCTCAGTTGTTTCTTGGCTGTTTCACCCATTCTGCCCCATTTTATTGCTCAAGCTCAGTTGTTTTTTGGCTCTTTCACCCATTTTGCCCCATTTTATTGCTCAGGCTCAGTTGTTTCTTGGCTGTTTCACCCATTCTGCCCCATTTTATTGCTCAAGCTCAGTTGTTTTTTGGCTCTTTCACCCATTTTGCCCCATTTTATTGCTCAGGCTCAGTTGTTTCTTGGCTGTTTCACCCATTCTGCCCCATTTCTCATGCTGGCTGAAGCCCCAGACACAAGAGAAGTGCAGACTTGGAGCATCCAGAGCTAAAATACTCCTTAAAAAATAACAAGAATAAAAAGGTATTTTGACTAGAAGAACTTAGTGATGCAGATTGAAGCTCCTAAAGGGACAAGCCTCTATCCTGAGGATAAATAGAGCTGATCAAACCCCCCAGGCTGGTGACAGTGAACTCAGGATAAACCAAGAGACATGATGTCCATTCCCTCTGCCAACTTGGCTCCTTTCCCCAGGGCTCAGTCTGACACAAGATTTCTCTGCTGGCTGGAGCAGCAAGGCCATGTGGCTTCCAGACAGACAGTAGAGAGGGAGGTTTAATTCTCTCTCTCTCTCTCTCTGACATTGGCCACAGGCAAAGCTCCTTCTGCCCAGGGAGATTTAAGGCTTCACTCCTGGTGTTTAGGCTGTTCCTCAGGGTTGGCTCACCCAGCTTGGAGCACACTGGGAGAACATCAGGATAACACTCATAAACCAAAGGAGAACAAGGTATAAAAGCAGAAGAATTTATCTCCTACTGATCAGATCATGAGAGTAAGAAGGGGGAAAGTCACATGTGAAATAAGGGAGAACAGGTATAAAAGAAGACTTAATCAACTAAGAAGATCATGAGAGTAAGAAGGGGAAAAAATCACTCAAACTAAGGGAGAACAGGTATAAAAGCAGAATAATTCACCTCCTACTAACAAGATAATGAAAGTAATAAGGGAGGAAAAGTCACACATAAAATAAGGGAGAACAGGTATGAAAGCAGAAGAATTCATCTCCTACTAATAAGACCATGAGAGTAAGAAGGGGAAAAAAAGTCACTCATAAACTAAGGGAGAACAAGTGTAAAAGCAGAAGAATTCATCTCCTGCTAATCAGATCATGAGAGTAAGAAAGGGGGAAAAGTCACACATAAAATAAGGGAGAACAGGGATGAAAGCAGAATTAATCTACTAGTAAGATCATGAGAATAAGAAGGGGAAAAAAGTCACTCATAAACTAAAGGGAGAACAGGTCTAAAAGAATAATTCATCTCCTACTCATCAGATCATGACAGTAAAACACAGCAAAGGAGGAAAAAACCACCATTTTGTACCCTCAAAGATGTGTCTCAAGTTATTTCTAATGGAGACAAAAAGCAGTTTCTAACCTGATTTGAAGCAGATTCTCCCACAGCCCCTGAAATACAACGTCTTTGCCTGTCACCAGCCTCAACAACCTGTAGAAATACCATGTATGGATCAACCTCAACACCAGGCCCAGCACTGAGTGACTTGTTTTCATGCCTCCTGCTGTCCCAGCTGTGATTTCATTGCACAAAGAGGTTGTAGTTGATCACAAATGTAGAAGGGATATCTCCCATTCCCTGCAAACAGCCAGAAAGAAGTACCTGGGCTCTGTTTTGGGTGTTGCTACCATGTATTTATGACATTGTTCCACAACAATTTGCTCAGCAAAGCTGAATCAGTAACAGCCCAAGAGTCTGTGGAAAGGGAAAGATGCAGAAGAGCATTCAATGAGTCCCAAGGATGGAACCACCACCCCTTGGGTAACACCTTAACCCCTTGAAGTGTCATCACCCTTTGTTAAATGGAGTTCAAGGCCTGGAGCTCTATGCAAAGCTGCTTGGGGGTTCAATCTCATGTGCTCACATCTGCAAACAGCTTTGTAGAAAACCAGAAAACATTCCCTGGGTGTTTTTGGACAGCATTTTCAGGCTCCAGGCAGAGCTCAGACTATGACCCTGTGAATGTGATGGGAGTGAGCCTTGCCCTTTGTTATCTGGTATGAACTCACTGCAGTTCAGTGAGTGATGAACCTGATCCAAGGCTCCATCCTCACTGGCCTTACCAGGCTCTGGACAAGCAGTGAGATGCACCTGACACACTTACAATGACTCTGTGGTGCTGCAGTCCAACCCCACATGTGTCTTACTAACTCACCTGTGTGTCTTACTAAAACATAAGAACACAGTGAGGGAGTTGATGCTGGATCTGGTGCTTTTGTTCTTACCTCTTTACCATAGCAGTGCATAGGCAGAGAGAGATTCAGCTCCATCAGTAAGATCAGGGAAATTCCTTGTTTGAGAGCTCAACACACTCCTTGTCAAATCTACCCAACTGTGAACATGGGAGAGGGCCTAGACCACTTTAAATTGCATGGAAAAGACCTTTTTGCTGGCAAACTTTTGTCTCCTTCCTCCACAACACACAGAAGATAGTCATCATGCCACTTCCCCTCCCAATCCTTCATTCACAGGCTCCAGCACCCCCCAACCAATCCCAAAAAACCCACTGGTTACAAGTGCTAATGTGACATAAAGGTATAACACAACAAATACCCAAATCTCAGTGTATTGTTCAGTGAGCATCTGGTGAGGCACAAATTCAGGATCACACAGTTTGTTTCTGGATGGGAAAAGCATTATCTTGGCTGAGCAATGGGCTGGTGTGGACCCTGGGAAGCAGCAGCCTCTGGAAGCAAGCTGAAGGAGCTGGGAAAGGAAAAGGCTCTTTGCTTGGTTAGGAAAGATGCCACAGTTGCAGGAAGAAGTCTTCAAGGTCAAGGTTAAGTCTTCTGGAGTCAAATATACACTGCAAGGTGGGGATTCACACCCTGCCCTGCTCCACTGCTGCTATGCACCCAGGAACATGCCCATGAAGTCAGATCCATTCTGGATGGTGATGGGAGCTCCAGCACTGTTGTCCACAAATATGGAGGTGTACTGGCCAGCCTGCAGGAGGGAGAGGGGAAAAAAGCTCATACTTCATCCCAGTGGAAAAGGAGACCAAAAAACCCATTTCACCCCTCAAGAACTGAGTGGAAAAGGAGATGAAAACCTATTTCACCACCATGAACTGAGCACAGAAGCCTCTGCCCTTTCCTGTGGCTGCTGGGAGCAGCATCTGAGCAAACATCAGCATTGAGCTTTGACTGGGTGGGAGAAACTTGGTGTAGTTGAACTGTGTTATGGGTTTAGTACTTTACTAGATCTTTGCTGCTCTGGCATCTTTTTGGGTGTCTAGTCAGATGGTCACCTGTGCTTCAGATTCCCTTGCCAAGTGGTGACATCTCCCAGATTGCCTTCTGGGAGATGGGACATACAATTATCACCTTGGCAATGCAAGGGGGAGAGCTGAGAACCAAAAGGATTCACTGTCATGTCTCAGAGGGAAAGTTATTTCTGTGCTTTAACAGCAGAATGGGAAACATGAGTCTGGTTTTCCTTCCTGATGCTGCCACAGGTTCTCTCTAGTCCCTCCAGGTGAGGCATTTCACTTCAGTAACCTTAGAAAGGTTAATAAAACCTTCCTGAGACTTCAGCCTTGCCAGTAAATAACTCCCTAACCTGGGACAGCAATCCCTTACCTGCAGCTGCAGTAAGCCATGGACATAGATAGTGAAGATCTTGCTGTTGCTTTCCAGCCCAGCAATGACTTCCAAAGACCTAAACAGCAGGAAAAGAAAAAGAAACAGGCTAAACACCTCAAACAGCCACAAGAATTGTGTGTGGAATGACAATTGTCTCAATCTCCCTGGAAATAAGACCAACTGGACTAAAAAGAAAGTCTGTTAACTTGATTATTGACACTTGGAAGTGTTCCAGGCCAGGTTGGATGGGGGTTGGAGCAACCTGGGCTGGTGGAAGGTGTCCCTGCCCATGGCAGGGGGTGGAACTGGATCATCTTTAAGGTCCAGTTGACCAGCACACTCATTTATACTTGTTGTTCTGCAAAGAGCTCCAGGCACTGTGCCAATACCAGTTCATTTATCTTCAGGGTATGCAAGGCCTGTTTCACCTTAACAATACATGCAGTCAGCCTGGGTGAGAAACAACATATTCTGCAGCTGAAAGCTGTTTGGGGAGAACATTTGGCTCAGGAGTCACATACAAGCCAACACAACAAATTGTGCTTCAATTAAAAGTCAAGGGAGAGCTTCACATCAGCCCTCAAGCACTGGTCTTTCCTAACATGATGTTCTGAGAACCATTCCTTGCCAGATGCTCCCTGGGGCATCCTCTATCCACAGAACTCAGCTCCTCTGTGCAGGATTCAGGGTGGAAGGAGGTGCTTGAGACATCACCAACCAGCACAACCCACAACAGCTCAGCCCCAAAGGGAAGCACAGAGCTCCATGCCTGGCTGGTTCTTCACTGCCACTGGTGGCAGAGCTGGTTGTTTTCCCAAACAAACCAACCCCTTTCCTCCCTATTTTTCCATGGAAGGGTTGGTGATGAAACCTTGCAAGTGCCAACATGCTGCTTCCAGCCTTCTTGCATGGAAAGGATAGGAAAGGTTGGGGCAATTTGGCCCAGGGAGAAAGAGCCACTTGGCACCATCTTGAGTGAAGAGCTCAGTCTGTGTGTCATATCCTGCCAAAAACCTAACTGGGGTGGGGACTTCCCACCATTAATCTCTTCTACTCCAACTGTCTCCTTGCCTTGTTTCCATCTAGCAGCAGAAAGCCCTGAGGGCCCTTCCAGCTCCCTCAGATGAATGACTGTGTGTGCTGACGTCCCCAGGAAATTCCACAGGCTCAGGGTGGCAGCTCAGCCTGTGCCAGGGGAAGGTCTGTCCAGGCAGGTTCCCATCCCTCCACCCATCTTCCTTCCATGCCACAGGCCAGTCATGCTCTCCTCCACCATGTGGGAGAAGGATGTCTATCAGGGCTGATCCTGCTCTACTCCACCCAGCTCAGGTCAACCTTGCAGGGCCACAAATCATAGACTGAGTCCCTGTTCAACTGCTGGAAGCTCCAAGTGAGACATCAGAGAGCTTTATCTAAACCAGTAACATCTGGGTCACTCCTGGCTAGGAAATAAAGAGTTTACTCTTACAGTTCTTTGGAGAATGGAGCTATAAATTCAGCAATGGCAAGTTGATCTCCAAACATCCCAATAAACCTGCCTGGGCTGCTTGTGGAAAGAGGTTCACATAGCTAGAAGGAGATCAGTATTTTAGGAGCTTTCAGCTAAGATCTGCAATGAAAGGCACAGGAGTCTCCATGATCCATGGGGAAGTTTCCTACTCATAGATAACTCCTGTAACAGGACAAGGAAGCAAGACTAGAGTCATGCTGAGGGCAGAGACTGATATCATTTCTTCAGGAACATACAGAGGTTGGTTGAATGAAGAGCAAAGGAGAGAAAGACACAGAGAGAGAGTCTTGGAGCCAGAAATCAGCTTTCCACAAAATTATATTTTCCCACATCCCAACAGGGAACATCTCCTCATATCCCAAAAGTGTGCAGAAAAAAAGATCCTGTGGAACTTCAGTCTCTGTTCATGGGAAATCCAAGGACTAGGGGCTGAGTCCTGTTCTTGGGGAACTTGCTAAGGTATGAAGAGATTGTTGTAGGTGGAAAGAAAAAGGCACCAAAGCTGAAGAGAGGAAAAAACCCTGATTAACTGAGTTGATTGATATTTGTGCTGAAGAGTGAAGGACAGGAGTAAGGACCTGCACCATGCAAATTGGTGAGAGCTACTCCTATAAGCAACATTCTTCCCTACCCATACCTGTTCCACCCCATGATTAAAGGCCTGATCTGGCCCAAAAATCACTCCTTGTCAACACATGTCAAGATCAGGCTGAGCTCAGCCTTAGCCTGATCTGAAGGAATCCTCACACACCCCAGAAATCAATGTCCCCAAGGTTCTGCAGCTTCCCAGCACACAAGGCATCCCTTCAAGGGGCAAGCAGTGCCACCCCTTCCTCTGGTGCCTGCAGCCAGTCTGACACTGCTCACTAAGTGCTGTGACCATAAAACACTCTTAGAAAAGTCTCCAAGGCACAGGAGGTGCCAATTGCTCCAGTCAGTGAACTCCTTGTCTTCCCTTCAGGTCAGTGGGTGCACAGCTCCCTCTTCCCCTAATTACTGAGGGGTACTCAGGTATCAATCAAGGCTTTTCCACAGCACAGTGAAACCTAAGAGAGGTTGATTTATTACTTAAGGCTTCATGTGCAATTCACCTGCCAATAAAGCCTCTAAACTGGCCTGTGTTGAGACCAGGCCTGTTTACAGCTCTGACTCATGGAGCAGAGAAGGTGAGGGCTGAAACAGCCAGTCCAGCAGCAAATTTATGAGGTTTGGGTTTTAAGTTGCACCTGTGGAGTGGTTTTTTTTATGGATTTCTGGCTACATTTCAGTGATGCTGTTGCAAAGGTGTTGCTACAGCTGCGCTGGAAGAACTATGGGCAAGGCAGAGCAAAGCTGGACAGGTATTTTTCCTCCTGTGACACAAGCAGAGGCTGTGCAAGCAGCATTGCCTTCTGCTGGGTGTCTTCCAGCCCAGGACAGGGGCTCCCCAGCCCCTTCCTCCCAGCAAAGCTTCCCCAAACCCTCCTGAGCACCTTGGAACATTCCCTGGGGAACAGAGCAACTCTGTGAGGAGCTCAGAGGATGAGCAGAGCACAGCAAACAAGAGCAGCCAACAGCAAGGAGCAACACCCAAGGTTGCCATGACCTAACAGAAGTGTTTCTTGAGCAGAGATTTGCCCTCAGCAGAGGAAAAATTAGCATCATTATCTGATGAAGCTCTCCCCAAGGCAGCTGAGGCTGTGGGAAGGTGTCATAAACCTGGATATAAGCCCTGAACTTTCTGCCTCAGCAACATTTGTCTCTGTTGCCACTTATTCATGCTCATCACTCCAAGATTTCCATGGCAACACGAGTGAGATCCATCCAGGATGCAGCTGAGATGATAAAAATTGAGCTCACAACCTCTGGCACTAAAAGTGTTTCACTCTGGATGTTTATAGTCATTCAGCACCTGTAGCTATGTCCAATTTCAGCTGAGCTCACAACTCTCTCAACATATGGAATATTTAGGTCTATTCTTTTATATTCAGGGAATAATAGTAAGATTTAGTACTATTGATTCTAACTGAAAGGTTAAAAATCAGGATAAAACCCACAGAAACCAAAGGGCCAGGTAGAACCTCTCTCTGCAGAAAGCTCCTACAAGCATTTATCATGGAAAATCCACTGTTGGTGGCTCTGATTTGTTGCAGAGTTGGTTGGAACATTGTCCCAGCTGAGGAAGAGAATTGTCAGGACACCTTTGGAGGGACTCACGTGTATCTGTGGCACAGGGACTCGATGCAGATCAGCACTCGGACGTTGTCCCTCGCTCGGAGCTGCACTTTGCTCTTCAGCTCACTGTGGTCTGGGGGAAGCAGAGGGGAAAACAGAGTCACTTTCAGAACATAACAGACCACTGGCTGCAGGCAGGGACACACCAAAAGCCTTGTGACTTCTGGGCTGGCTTTGTGTGCCAGAGGTTGGGAGCATGAGGGCTGAAGGAGGTTCTTGAGGAGTTGCCTCAACATTTGATGGAGCCAGGGCCAACTAGCTCCAGGATGGATCCACCACTGCCCATCAGTGATGGTGGTAGAGCCTCTGGGCTGATAGATTTAAGAGGGGGAAAACCCTGTGCAACTTCAAGCCAAAGAGAGGAGTGAGACTGTGTGGGAGAAGAGATGCTGCAGAGGACCAGTGACAAAACAGCCAACATTGCCTTGATGCAGGTCTGTGTCATGATGTTCATTTCTTCTGAAGGTTTTTGTGGAGCCATTACTCCTGCACATGGCTATATTTGGTCCCTAAAGTCATGGTTGGATTTGATGGACTTAGAGGTCTCCTCCAACCTTGATGTTTCTATGATTGATGGTCCATGGGGAGTGTTGATTGGTTTGGTGTGTGCAGAGCAGCCTGTTCTAAGGTCATGGTACCAAAGGGACATGTCCTGGTTTCCTACTGGATCCAGAGAGTTCTCCTGCCAATCTCAAGCAGGATGGAAGAGGTTTCTGTGGGCAACACTCACCGATGTGGATGTTGGCTGAGAACTGGTAGATGCCAGACACAGGCGCCGTGAAACGTCCTGTGGCCAAGTTGAGTCCTGTGCCCCTCAGGAAAGCTCCTTTGGCCAGAGGCTGTGAGAGGAGAAAAGCAGAGGCTGAGCAAGTCCCCAACACTCTCAGCAATTACCTTATCCCCACAAAACACACCTCCCAGAGCCTTTGATGCCCACAAAAGGTAGAGTGATCAGTGTGAGGCACAGAGATGCCTCTTCTGCTCACTGCTCAACTCTTCTAACTCACCTTGACTCAAGTGTGCTTGCTGCATCCCCACACTGGTCCTAGTGGCCTCCACTGATGTTCTGATACTCAAAACCTCTCATTATTTCAGTCAAGACATCCCTACTACTCCCAAAGACCTCCTAGATGGGTCCAAGCAATGACCCCAGGCTTAACCTGGAACCTTCTCCACCTTATTTAGTGATACAAGTACAGACAAAACACTCCTATGGATCTCCAGAGCTTTTCTACCCACTTTAGGTCCAAGTCAGCTGGTTTTGGTAGTGTTAAAGAACAACTGCTTGGAGTCTCCCAAGTTCCATGGTTAGTTTCATTTTGTTCTGGCCTTGGACTCAACAGAACAGGCAAAAAACCTAAGTGAAGCAGCACTGAGCTTCTCCTCGTGGCAGAGAAGCAGTCTGGAGTCAACCTCACAGCAGATTATCTGACTCAGACTAAAATAAACTCTGCAAGAAATGTTTATTGTTTGTTTTGGCCCGGGGAGGAATTTGGCTGGAGCTGGGGAGAGGCAGGAGAGGCTTCAGTGGGCCAAGACAGCACATTAGTCAGACTCTGCCTCCACCGCAAGGGCACTCTGGGCAGTGTGAATGTGTCCCCTGAGCCCTGGCACAGCACATTTGGTCCTTGGGGACAGAGGAGCTCTTCAAACCTGCCCCTGGGAAGGCTCACACGCTGCTATAGCCCCAACCCAGGTCCAGTACAGAAATGAATGACCTCAACAACCCAAATCTGAAGGTGTCTTAAAGTACTAGATGGTGGAAGAGGGCTGAGACATGGTGGACAAGTTAAGAGGAGCATTGCCACAGGTGCTGTTCACCAAAAACTAGTGGAACACCTTTGTTCAGGTGCCAGAAGGAAGTTCATTGCCTCCCCATTGAGAGGACTGAGAGGGGATCTCAATCATACAAATATATATGGGACATCAATCCATACAAGTATCTCCAAGGGGTGTCAGAGGATGGTGACAGATATCTCCAAGGGGTGTCAGAGGATGGTGACAGATATCTCCAAGGAGTTTCAGAGGATGCTGCCAGTTATCTCCAAGGGGTGTCAGAGGATGGTGACAGATATCTCCAAGGGGTGTCAGAGGATGCTGCCAAACTCCTTTCTGTGCTACCCAGGAAAAGGAGCAATGACCATCAACTAAAGCACAAGCTCCTCCTCAACATGAGGAAGAGCTTCTTGCCATGGAGGTGACAAAGCAATGGAACAGCTGCCCAGGGAGGGTATGGAGTCTCCTCTCTGGAGACATCTCAAACTCACCTGGATGTGTTCCTGTGTCACCTGCACCAGGTGACCCTGTCTGGGCATGGGGTTGGACTAGGTGATCTCCAGAGGTGACTTCCAACCCCAACTACTGTGGGATTCTGGTTCACCCCAGCCAAAGATTATCAACTTTCATAGTGTAGTAGGAATAATTGACTTACTTTCTCTTTGAAAGGAAGTAAAATGCAAATATTTGGGTCTGGTGGTGTTTGTTTAGAGTTACTCCAGGGTAGAAGGAGTGAAATGACTAACCTTGGCCTTACTGACCAACATTTAGCTCTAGTGTTCTGTTTCACACAACTAGAAATGGTTTCTGGAGGTGGAAATACCTCCACATGCTCTGGAATTGCTGATGGTTACATGTGTGTGATGGGAAACCAGTAATGAGCTACAGGACAACTTTGTGTCCTGCAATGATTCCTAATCAAGCTGACAACAAAGTCTTTGGAAGGAGCTGCTTGTTACACCATCACTACACCCCAATTTTTGCTAACCCTGTGTTGGATTTACCTCACTCAATGAGCAGGTCCAAGTTCTCTATGTGCAGAACTGTTGAGAGTTCATTCATTCCTGTCTCGTTACACTTCCTAGCAGAATCAGCAGCACAATTCCAACCCCACTGGCTGAGCATGGAAGGCAATTTTAGGCACCAGTAAATTAGCACTGATAAAACATTCCTGTTTCTTCATGCCCTCTGTGGCTTGTTATTCTTTTTGCTCATGGAAACAGACAATGCAGGGTGAGGTTCTCTGGGCAAAATATTCCATCAAAGCCCATGCCAAAGAGCTCCTGCTGCATTTGCTGCCTCCCCCAGCTGCTCCAGCCCCTGCAGGGATTGATTCCTGACAAACTAACTCTTGCCCACAGTTATTCCAGCCCCAAATAGTTCAGGGTTTCAGACAAGGTAGTGTCCAGCCCCTCTGTACAAACCCCAGCAGCTTCTCTGCCTCAGTCATCTCCTGTCTCATGCACTCCAGAGCTCACTGCCAGGTGGAAAACAGGAGCCATGCAGAGAATTGGGATGTGAACTCCCAGTTTTCCTTTCTCTACCACTGTGGGAAGCAAGACATGGATTTACTGTTCTTATTCTTCTGATCCAGCAGTAAAATTCCCCTGCCAAAGGCCTCAAGGTACTAGAGACACCAGGACTCCTTCTGGGATCTCTCCCCATGAAAAGCACCTTAAATTATCTGAATCCAGTCAAATTCCTGGTCCCCAGGTAAATCTCACTCCCATGGCCTGTTAGAGGCTGCAGTTACTTCACTTCTTGCTGTGTGAAACATCTTTCTGAAAGCTTTTGCAAGAGGTAATGGTTAGGAATCTCAAGTGTGAGATGCAGGTGTGGGGAAAGGAGTATCCCATAGTTCATCCCAAGGAAATACCAAGAGGAAGAGTGGGAGGCAACGTTTTTAGAGGAAAATCAGCATGGAAGGATGAGCAAACTGATGAGAAAATCACCATCCTCAAGGTCAGAGTGACTTAGACACTGCAATCTGAGTATGAAATGGATAAACTGCTCTCAGCACAGCTCCTTTCCACTCTCTCAAAATGCTTTGGGTAAGCTCCAAATCCAGGAATTAGAGTCAATCCCAATGACCTCCCTGAGAATTATCAACTCTGTTGTCTTCTTCACACTACACTGACAGAATGGAGGGAGAGGAATTCTCCCTCTCTCCTCCTTGGCCTATTTAAACACAGTTTTCACCTCTGCAAGAGCAGAGAGGGACACAGTGTCCCTCCCTCCCTGCTAAATTCCCTTCTACCAGGGTACAAACTAAACCCAGAGCCCTCCAACCCTCCCACAGCAGCTCCAGACCAGAAACTGGGCACAGCATCCCAAAGCATGGGAAGCAGCAACAGCCTATGCAGAGCTGCCTGAGATGTCTTTATTTACATTTCCCCCCCTAATTAATGAGGCAGCAGATCTTGTCCACAACTCCAGTCCAACAAAACTGCCACAAGTGTGGCTGGGAAAGATCCAACACCCTGTTTAGAGCATCACCACAGCCTCTAGTCCTACAGCAGGAAGCTGCTCCAAAACACAGTGGAGCTCTACTGGTTTAGTCTGGGATCATTCCTCACCGACTGGAAGTTTTGAAGTTCTACCAAGGTCTTCTTGTCTACAGTGACTTGTCCTTTGAGCTTGCAGTGAAAAGCCTCCTCTACACGTCTGTGGGGAGAAACCTCCTCCAAGGAGAGCAGGAGTGGGGGCAGCTGGCTGGGATGGGCTGGGATGGCCAGGGATGCTCGACGCTCGATGGCTTCTGGGGAGGGAAGAGAAAGCAGAGCAAGAGAAAGGCTAAAGTTTAAAGGTTTGGCTTAAGAACTCATTAGTTGTGTGATTACACTTCAGCACTTAACTCTTCAGCTTGAGTTAAGCAGCACTGGGGCAACATTTTAGGTTGGCAGTGGTTAAGGTGAAGGTTCCAAAGGCAGTTCTGGGTTTGCTCTGGTGCTGAGCAAAAGAAGCACAAAGCTCTGAGTCTTTACCTTTCAATATCTCCTTAAATTCCTGCAGAAGAACTTCCCGGGTGACTTCAGCACCAGGTGCTCCTGGAGGTCCCTGAGGACCAGGAGGTCCTGGAGGGCCAACAAGGCCACGCTAAGGGAGTAAGCAAAGGACAACATGGATTAGGACCAGGAATTGCAGTGACAGATCAAAAACTCTCTCAGCCATGAGGCACTTCTGTAGAACCTGCCAGAGGAGCAGTTCCCTCTGCTATCAGTTCAAACACAGCTCCTAAACTGACTTTCCACCCAGCTGTGAATTGCAGCACTTGGAATTTACTCCTGTTCTTCATGTGGGAGGATAAACTTTGTTCAGGTAAACACCAACTGGTTCTTCAAGTCCAGTGTGGGGCACAACAGGCACAACTTTGCTGCCTGTGGATCTTCTCGTAGCACCAAAGCATCCCACTGGACTTGAAGCTTCTTATCCTAAGTGGAATATCCATCTAGCCACAGCTTATTAATATATTAATTGCTCAGACATGATCATATCCAGTTAAACCCCTGTAAAGGTCATCTACACACACCTGAGAGCTTTAAACTAGTAGAACAAACATGCAAGAGTGTTATCAATGCTATTTTGAGGTTGGAGTTCCTGGTTCCTCAGGAACCTCCCTGGAAGAGCTGCTGTTTATCAGCTCAGGGAGAAAGAAAAGGGAATCATTAAGGCATTAAAATCATCTGAGCAGCAGATGGCCTCAAGGAGAAAGAAAAGGGAATCATTAAAGCATTAAAATCATCTGAGCAGCAGATGGAAAGTGCTGACGTGTGACACATGAGCAAGTGTCACTCAGCAGATGATCAGCAATTCATTCACTTGATAGAAACATCTTGTCCACACCTTGATTAATATCTCCTTTGAGATATTTGGGGGTTGTCTAGTAGAAGGGGGGTGGGGGGGGAAATGTTAATTTTATTTCTGCTGAGCTGAAAAATAACCCAAAAAAGGCTCAGGGCAAGAGCAGCTGATTCAAACAAAACTGGAAAGTGAAAATCCCACACCTTATCCACCAAATTACACAGCACTAACTGCCTCAAACCTCTCCAAAACACATTGAGACGTGAAACCCAAACGAAAACTCAACACACTCTGAGCTTGGAAGGCAAAACCTGGAGCACACAGAACCTTTTGAGCAGCAGGGAGGAAACCACTTAGGAGCTGCTGATGTAGCAATGACCTACTAATTTCTTGTCTTTCCCCTTGCATCTCCGTTTGGAGGTGTTGCCATCGTCCGGGCGGTGCACGAAGGAGATCCAGGTGCGCCTGGGGTCTGTGATCCGAGGGTCTGCAGAGTCCAGGAGCTGCAGGGCAACAAAAGCAAAGACTGGCATGACTTTTGGGCCATGGCATGGAGTCTCAAAGGTCTGGAGACTCCAGGAGCTACAGAGAAACAAAAACTGTGATTGATCCCACCCTTTGGCCACAATATGGAACTCTTGAGAGTCTGGAGACTCCAGGAGCTAAGAGAAGAAAGAATAAAGGTTGATATCACTGCTGGGCCACAACATGGATTCTGGAGGGTCTGGAGATTCCAGGAGCTAAAGAGGAATAAAATCAAAGATTGATATCACTGTTTGGACACAACATGGACTGTTGAGAGTCTGGAGAGTCCAGGAGCTAAGGAGGAACAAGAACAAAGACTGATATCACCCTTTGGCCGCAATATGGATTCTTGAGGGACTGCAGATTCCAGGAGCTAAGGAGGAACAAGAACAAAGGCTGATATCACTGCTGGGCCACAATTTGGATTCTCAAGGATCTGGAGATTCCAGGAGATATAGAAGAGCAAGAACAAAGACTGGTATCACCCTTTGACCACAACGTGGACTCTTGAGGGTCTGGAGACTCCAGGAGCTGCAGAGGAGCAAGAGCAGAGATTATCACCCTTTGGCCACAACATGGATTCAAGAATGCAAAGTCTCCAGACCAGACTCTTCTCTGCTGCCTAAACCACAACCTTGATCCACACGTGCTGCATTTAGGAGGACACTGAAGTTGTGCTTAAGAAACCACTAAGAGCCAAGAGCTCTGAGTGTCCCTCAGAGACCTTTCTCAGCCTGCTGGGACTCTCAGTCCTCTGCCAGCCCTCACACTCCCCTAGAAAACCTGCCCAGATGCCAGAGATTGTTCCCCATTGGCACCTGACATGGATCAGTTGGCTCAAACAAGTCATATAGGAGATTAAACCCCTCCAGAAAGCCTTGAAATGCTCTCACAGGAGATGAAACCCTCCAGAAAGCCTTGAAATGCTCTCAAATCACAACCTGCAGAGTGACACGTGTGCACACAGAGGAGAACACAACACCCAGGGAAACCCCAAGTCCATGTCTGACCACAAAAAAAGATGTTTGTTGGAGAATTTCACTGCTCTGTTCATTCCCATGTGCTGCAAATGTGTTGTGGCCATAGGGAGGTTATCCAGAGGAGCTTTGAGACTTCAGTGCTTAGTTCTGGATCTCATCTAAGCAACATCTGGGCAGAAGAGAAGTTATGAAGGGTATGAAGCTCCCACAAGTGTGAGAGCAGTTCTGTCCCAGCTCAGACAGTGACCTTGGAAGGTGCTTCCAGTGCAGATCTATTTGCTCATTCCCTGCCTCACTTAGCTCTCCAAACACCAATTCCCAGAGACACATATTGAGCTTTAATCACATTTTTAGCACCTCTTAGAGGCCTAAATTGCCTTTAATCAAACAATCTGCAGGAGCACGTGGAAAACAATGAATCTATAGAGTGTAGGGAGTGCTGAGGCCCCAAAAACTGCAACATACACCACTGAGAGCAAAGGGAATTGGACATATTTTAGCTGGAAAGAACAGGGCAAAGCCATTTTTGAAGGGAAAAGAGCAGAGCGTGTGTGATCTGCTGTGGAAAATCCATGAAGCATAAAGTGGTTCAAAGTTAAACCTTAGAAGTTTGTTGGAGTTCCAGCTTGAGGTTCTAAGGAATGTTGGTGCTGTCAAGCCTGGAAAGCTCTCCCTGCTGCAGGAATCCAGGCACAGGGGTGTAGAGCAAGGAATTTACCCATGGATTCCTGAGCTGATGTGATATTACAACTAGTTATTTCACCCAACTTTGGCTCAACAGGTGATTTAAAAAGCAGCAGGACATGAGCAGCTTCCCCCCAAGTCAGGTGTGGAGTGAGATGAGCAAAGGGGAATTGTTAACATCTCACACTCTGGGAATTCCATAAAATCAAAACTCAATCTCATAAAATCAAGGATATCCCATGACATTTCACCATATTCATTCCAGCTGGATTAATCAGAGTTGAAGTTCTCCACACTCCCCCAATGCTCATAGTTAGGATGTATCAAAACCAAGAACAAGACAAAGTGTTCATAACAATCTCCTTCATTATTTCTGTACCAAAATCAATTTCTGGACCAAAACTAAGCCTTGAAGTGACTTTTTTCTTGTATAACCACTTGTATAGTCAGCCAGGAATTATGTTTGGTCAAGGGGTTCTAGGAGGTTGGTTTAGCTAACTGATTATTTGCCTTCTTAATTGACTTCACACAGGACTTAAATAGCTTTGGAAAATCCCATGGGAAAGGGATGTCAGTGGAGGAAATCCCAAGATTTGGGAGATAAATCATCTTACTAAACCACTCTCATCTTCCCACAGATTTTGGGGAAACATAAGGAAGCAAAGACAGGCTGAGAAGGTCTTTGGGTGCAAACCTCTCCATCTATTGAAACACAAACATTAAGTCCAGAGGAAACATCCCTCAAGTTTATCTGTGTCTTTTGGAGGGGACTGAGAGATCTGTGGAAAAGTTCACAAAGCAGAAGGAAACAAGTTATTAGTAGAAGCAGCAGGTCAGGCAGGTTAATCCCTCAGTGCTGGAGCAGAACCAGCAGGAGAACAGGTGGGATGCAAGGAAAATGCAGATCAGATCAGTTTAGCCCTCCAAAAGAGATGGTTTTGTGGCAGTACAACCTCCAGCACACAGCAAACACCAGCCCAGAGGCTCAGGGACTGGGATGCAGCACTTGCTGCTGATGTGGGAGAGAATATCCCAATATCCCTGTTTTCCCTCAAGCTCCAGGACAGGCACAGCCTCCTCTCCACTGCCAAAGGGAGGCACCAGGCCAGCCAGAAGGAGAAGCCAACACTCCTGGGCAGGCTCTGGCCATTAGCTGTGAAGGCAAACAGATGTCCTCAACCTTTCTGGAGCTCCAGCTGTGAAGAACAGACATCTCAGGGAGGAAAAAAAAAAATTTTTAAATGGAGAAATCCAGATGGCACAGGCTACAAAAATACATGAAACCCCCCTGAAGTAGAAGAAAAAACAAAAAAAAAAAAAAAGATAAAAAAATCCCCTCCCTCTGCAGTGGTTTCCTTAAATTCCAAATCCTTCCACAAGACACTCCCCAGCACGAGGCTGATTGACAGGTGAAATGAATGTTCCATCCTTGTGGGGTTATTATTTAATTACTATGGCATGCATGAGCAATCCCAGCAATAAGCAGGCAAACCTCTATTTTCCTTGGCAGCAGCAGCCTCCAGCAGCCAGAGAGACCTCGCAGCCAACTCAGGTATCAGGGAGGGCTGGGAACAGCCTTGGAATCCCAGCAGAGAGGACTTGGAGAGCTGTTTGCAGAGCAGAACTAACCTCCAGGAGTCAGGAGGAATCCTCATGTTCACTACAGGAAAATGCTCCTTCAATCAGCCCCTCCAAAGTCAACAGGAGCTTTGCCAGAGATGCTTAATGAACTTTCAGTCAGGTCTCCTAGCATGGCTTGGGGAGCTGAGACAATGGCACCTTTCAGTGCCCAACCAGCTGGGGACACTGGTGGGGAATCAGCAGAGTCTCTGCCTGATTTTCCTCACAATAAGGGACTAGGTGAGCTGGAATTTAGGCTCCTGCACATGGCACAACTTTGTGCTTCTCCCTGGCTCTGTCTCTCCCTGCTCAGGCACACACACAGGCTCCTCCAGGTTTCAGCCAACAGGGAAGAAACTACCAGCAGAAATCTAGTCCAGCAGCAGAGTTTGGATGCTGAAAAACCTCTGAACCTCTCTGACATTTAGGGACAGTGGGATCCATTCTTCATCCCTGTTAAAAACCAGCTGGAAATGGGTAAAAGTCATTCCAGAGTCTGGGTGAATAGAAGGAAAACATCAACACCAGCTGTGAGCACCTCTGTGTACCTCAAGGCTTCTCAGAGGGTTCTCAGAGTGGGAAGAAAGTAGGAAAAGGGGAGAGAAAGCAGGAAAATATCCTTCCCACCTACAATTAGTCAGAGATGTGTGTCCAGGAACAGACACCAAACCATTCCATTCCAGTCTATGCCTGGTATTATTGCTCTGCAAATTCTGCTCAGTTATCTAGGAGTTTGTCCCTCTATGAGGAAGTTACAGCTAAGAATTATTTGCTTGATACTTCAGCAGTTTCCAGGCACAAACCTGATTAAACTTTTCACTTTTCTCCAGACACACATTTCTGTGTTACACCTGATTTCCCCCACTAAGAGTATTGTCAGCTCCACTTTGAAACGAGGAGGGAATTCTTCATTTCAGTAGTATATTTTACTTGGACCAGGTTAAAAAGTGACAGAGCATTGTATTTTTTGAGCATGAAACCCTCTGTGTCAGCTGCTAATGACTTGCAGTTTGACACACTCCTGGTTGTTAATGAGATGTAAAACCAAGGTCTTGACCACTTGTGGTTTTTTTTACTGATCTCTCAAGAATTTTGCCTAGAGCACAAGTGTTAGGTTTGGTATCTCAGCCAAATCCAAAAGGGAATTCCTCCCTAAATTCCCACTGTGTTTTGAGATTGAGAAATTCTCCTTTACTTCTCTAAGATGAGGAATTTAGAGGAGCAAAGATAGAAGATATCTCAGAGAGCTTCTCCTGCTCTTTACCACTAAGTGTGGTCACACCTCTATGGAATGTAATGGATCTCATGGAATAGGTCACTCTGGGGGAGATAAGATGAGATTTGGAGCTGGGTTAGCTGCATTGCAGCATTGATCATTCCACATCTGGATGTCCCTGTAGAGCTGTGTCCTTAGGGAGGCCAAGACAGGTGAGGAACACACCAGCACCTCTAGCTCAGGTGGAGCAGGATGGATCCAGCACCCAGTGCTGCAGGACTACAGCATTTCACAAAGCTTCAAAGTCTTAGAGCTCTGAGAGAGGAAAGCAAGCACTGAATTATGGAGAGACTCAGGCAGATCTACGAGTCCAACATCATTCCTCATGGGCCACAAGGAATTGCTGTGATGATGACAACACAAAACATGAAGATAACTTCATCTCCCCCAGATAAATTAGTCCAGTTTCTCTCATGGCTTTAACACTTGGCAGGCCCCAAAATCCTTTTCTCTCTTACACCTCAATCACCCACTCCAGACTAAGGCTGGAATCTCTTTACAGAGGAGAAATGCAACCTGCAATGACACTGAACCAGTTGCTGCTTTCAGCTGGAAGCAAAATCCCCCAAAGAAATAATTCAGAGATATGTAAGAAAGAAACCAGGTAGCTCTAGCCATAGGTAGATAAGAGAGAGAAGATTCCAGCTGGAAGAGACATCCACAGTTGGATGATGTGACAGAGAGAGAAGGATTCAAGCTGGAAGGGACATCCATAGATTGGATGATTGAAGATTAATCATCTCACTAAACCACTCTCATCTTCCCACAGGTTTTTGGGAAGCATAAGGAGGCAAAGACAATGATGTTCTACTTTCTCTCTCTTAGTCCATCAGCATCAGAGAACAAAACTCACGTGCTTGGCCAGCACATCCCATTGAGAGCAACTCAAAGATAAGACTGGAGAAACCCCATTTTTTAAACCATAAACCCCAACCAGACTCACTATTTCCTTGGAAATATCAGGTCTAGCAGAAAATTTGAGCCTTCTCTCCCCTGTTTCAGTGGAGGTGTCACCACATGACTCATGCCCTGTAAATGGTCAAGGAGATCTTTCTCCACTCCTGTGTTAAAAGAATCCCCAGGAGAATTCTGGCCCAAACTGTTTTGCTTAATTAGAAGGAAAACACATCTACCTTTTCAACAGCATGAATAAAAAATCACTTCTCTCAGCTCATATTTCATCCCCTGCTCCTTCTGCAGTGATAAACCTACCAGCTGGTCAGAGAGTCTTCCAAGGTAAACACAGACACAGCCTTAATTTGCACTGCACAAGGCCATAAAAAATTCCATCTCTCCTCTTATGTGCAGGAGAGAATTAATTGGGATACTGCTGCTACTTCACTTTGCTCTGTTCCATCCTTTCATGGAACAAAACTGCTCCCAGAGGCATCTTCAAGGCTCAATCTTCCACAGGGAATTGCTTCCAACCTTCCTTGAGCTTAGGGAAGGTGAGGAGAGATTCACTCTTAGTTTGCTTCTTCCCTTAGTGGATAGAAATTGTGCTGAATAAATGTGAGTATGAATAAAAGTGAATATAAACAGTGATAAATTAGTGGCTGTAAATTGGGATGGTTTGCTGTAAATAGCAACTTTTAGCCCAGAAATGGAAGCAATTCCTAAGCACTGAATTTATAGAGTGTATAAAACATTCCCTTAGCTTGGGCAGGTGCTGTCTAAATATAAACCACCCAAATAAATTCCCCCAGGACATTTAGAAGCAACATTGAACCAGTCTGGACATCAACTCAAACACATCTCAAGGAGCAAAAAAAAAAGTCCAGGCTGCAAAATTTGGGAGTGATTTACATCAGAGATTTGGTTTGTCCTATCCTTGTTAAACAGAACCTGCCTGAGCTGAACTCATCCTGCAGCCAAAGCTTTGCCATGGATATTTTAAAGCAAAGTATTTCAACACAGAAACTGCAACTTCCAAACATTGTCTGCTCTAATGAATGCCCAGGAATCTCCCAAGCAGCTCTGGGTTTCTTCCAGCCACAATCACTGTGGGACTGGAGCAGAATTCACCAGGACCAGTTTCTGCTTGGGTTTTCAAACAGGATATATTCTCCTTCTGGGCCAAAATATTCCCCATCCAATTCATTGCAGGAGAAACTGGATTGACTTGCAGCAGATCTGTCTGTGGCTCCTTGTGCAAGAGCAGAAAGAAGCAGCTCTAGAGGGAGAAGTGATGGATTATAAGCCCCTCAAGAATTCAGTGTGTGCACAACCTGCCCTGACAGAGCCCTGCAGCACACACCAAGGAGAAAGGAGCAGAAGGAGCTCTGCTTACAGTCCCTCCTGGTAATTTGGAGTGCAGCAGCTTTGGCTAGCAAGGAACTGGTTCCCAGACTTGCCCAACCTTAACCAATTACTCTCACAGCAGCACTGAGTGGGATATTTGCCATGGCAGCCCAATTGTTCTCCCTTGCCCCCTCTGCCATGGCCCAATTTCTGACAGGTCTGTTCCCCCATTGCTATAGTGACTGCCAGCACTAATGCTGGTGATCAAAGTGCTGCTTTAGAGGTCACCTCTGCCTGTGGCAAGGGACATTTTTGTGTGAGCAGGGGGGAGAGAAGGGGCTGTGCCATAGGGAGACTCCCTTCAGCCTCTCCCTTCCATTCCACCCTGCTCCTAACCCTAAACCCTGCTCTCCATTCCCCACCCCCTCCCCTATTCCCAAGCATTCCATGGGAAATGTTCATCTTTAAGGATTCTGGGGGATCTGAGCAACTGACTGGAAGTTTTCCTGCAGCTTTCAGCCTGGGTAAGTCTCCCAAACACAGGTCTGGAGAGATCTCACCCTGCCAAACTCACTCTCAAATCACCACCTACAGAGGTATCACCCACAGAGGCTTCACCTGCAACTCAGGCACAGCTAACACCATCCTGAATCCTTCCCTAGAGCCACAACCACCTGAAACAGATTCACCTACAACACTCAAACTTTCTCATCTCGGATTTTCAGTCACCTTCTCTGGTGCAGAGAAAGCTCAGGTGTGCTCACATGTTTTTGCTCTTGGATTTGCTTAGAAAGGTGGAAATCTTGCAGAAAGGAAAGGATTTGTCTGCAATAGACACTAATATTCCACTATCACTGCTGTTTAAATTAGTTGTTTCTGGTAGTGTTCATACACTAGAAATCTAACCTGGTTTTACCAGCCACTATGAGACTGGAAGTTCAATCCTGTGTACTCCAAACCAACCACAAATTGCAGTAGTCCAGCTACAAAGTCACTCCAGCTACAAAATCAATCATGCCAAAGCAAAAGAAAGAACATTTCTCACGAAAATCAAACAGCATTTAGCAGAACTGCCTGAAATCATTGGAAAAATCAACCAGCATCACATCAGTGCCAGCACTAAGCTCCACCAAGCAGTGCCCAGACACAAACACCCACCTTGGGATGCCCATGCAGCTCCTCACTGTTGGACAGGGTCGTGTTGAAGGGCTCTGTGTACTGGTTAGGTTCTTTCTTCACCTTCCTCTCTCTCTTTGCTGCTGTGACTCTGAAGAAGCAAAACTGCTGACAAAGCAAAGTGGCCACAAATACCCAGGTGCACCCCTTCATTTTTTGAGAAGGAGGAGCCAAGCCAGGAAGGCACTGTCCAAGCACAAAAACCTTCACCACCAGTAAGAGGAAGAGACAGAGATTTCTCTCCTAAAAAAAAAAAACAAAAAACCCCAACAAATAACCAGGTTAGAGGTATTACAGAAGCTCCTCTGGGCTATGCTGTGTCAAAGAGGCAGCAAAGAGGGATGTGCTGGTTGCTGAGAGGTCTCTGCCACATGGAAATGGTGTTGATAGACTTGGTTGAAAAATCTGGATTCACTCGAAAAAGGAGGTAAGTCCATTCAGCCTCTAGAAGCTTACATAAATACAAGAGGCCCTGAAAAGTCCTGCCACCCACCTTGAAATGGTGTTTTCCCCCCCTGTCCCCTCCCCAAATAAGTCTTCAGCCTCGTTCCCAAGGCTATGAAACCTGCAGAAGTCAAAGTGCTCAGGTCAGGACTGACAACACACACTCATTAGGGGCTGGTGGGTCCTTCAACAGGAGCTTTTACTTGCTGTCATTTGGAGCATGGTGTTCAGTTCAGAGCTGGCTGGAAGATGTTCCATCCATTCCCTCTGGAATGAGCTTTTCTTCAGGGATAAGTCCTCATCCTTTCCTTCCACAATGCTGAGGAACTGTAGTCCAAGGGAGCTACAGCCACTGCTCCTCTGCAGGGACTGGAAGCATCAAGGGTTCAGCCTTGGAAGGAGACAATAAACTTCTCATCTCACCAGAGTTCAATCAGGGAGAAGCAAAGAGTCTGAGGATGTGCCGAGGTCCATTAGGAACAGGTCAAGTTATCCCAAGTGTAGTTTCTCTCCCTCTTTAGCTGAGTTTATCTTCTTCCCTTTGCTGCAGTGATGAGCAGCAGGTCCTGCAGGAGCTGTCAGGGTGTAGAACCTCGTGGCTTTTGCATCCTCATCTCCCCTCACCCTAGGCAAGATTTCAGGTGCCTCTGAGTGGAGATCACCTCTGGTTTTACTCTCTGCTCCTTTCCCCAGCTGCACACAGCCAAATCCCTCCTCAGCTTTTGCTTCACCTCAGCAAAGAAGTACTTCTTCCCTGAATGAGTTTCCATCAACTTCAAGAAAAGGAAAAAAAAAAAAAAAAAAAGGGGAAAAAAAAACCACCAGGAGGAGGGATCACATTCTAATGAGCTGTCAAGCCTATTCTCTTCACATTCCTATTAGACTCCCTGATAAGTGGAGCTGGTCCTTGTGCCAGGCAGATTTAAATCAGTGCCCATTCCCTGCTCCCTCCCCTCAGCCCTCCCCTTCATTATCTGCGAGAAATCCCCATCATTTTTTTTTTTTTTTTTTTTTTTTCTGGGAAGTTTGTAAAACTGCCCAGGAGTGTGTGTGTGGTGGAGCTTGGAATAATCACTCAGCATCACAGCACACAGGGATGCACCAGAGCTCTGTGCTCCTCTCAGCTGAGCTCCAGGGCAAAGAATTTCTGTTTGTCCCCAGGGGTGGCTCAGTGGGGGCTGATTTCCTTCCAGGGAGGGCTGTGGATTGGAAAGAACAGAAATTCAAAGTTTTCAAATCTCCTCCAAGCATTTCCTAAGGAGATCTTGGTGGACACTGCAAGTCTTTGCCAGTCCCTCATCAGCTGGGACAAATATTGCTCTGCTTTCTGCATAGACACAGTGTGATGTGAAAGTTGCTCTGAGATTGTACCAGGAGAAAGGCTAGGAATGCTAAAACATTGAAGATCACATCATTTGGAGTCCTTTGTGCCTCAGATTGTCTTTATTTTAACGATTTCTTTGGCCATAACTTCTGTGATCCAAGTGTCAGCACAGTTGGACTTCCCAGGGCAAAGCTCTGAGGCTCAGGGGAAACTGAGGCATCACCAACCTGAGCACAAAATCCAGAGGTAGAATTTGAATTTTTAGTGTTTTTGCAATATCTATGGGGAGAAATGGAGTTTGGGAAGGAGCAGAGAATGAGAAGGAGCAAAGAGTGAGAAGGAGCAGAGTGAGAAGGGAAGTTGAGAATAAGAAGGAGCAGAGTAAGAAGGGGATGGTGCAAAGAGTGAGAGGGAGCAGAGTGAGAAGGGAAGATAAGAATAAGAAGGAGCAGAGTAAGAAGGGAAGGAGTAAAGAGGGAGAAGGAACAAGGAGTGAGAAGGAAGGAGCAGAGAATAAGAAGGGAAGGAGCAGATGGAGAAGAGAAGGAGCAGAGTGAGAAGGAGCAGAGAATAAGAAGGGAAGGAGCAGATGGAGAAGAGAAGGAGCAGAGTGAGAAGGAGCAGAGAATAAGAAGGGAAGGAGCAGATGGAGAAGAGAAGGAGCAGAGTGAGAAGGAGCAGAGAATAAGAAGGGAAGGAGCAGAGAATAAGAAGGGAAGGAGCAGATTGAGAAGGGAAGGAGCAGAGTGAGAAGTCACCCAGGAGCTGAAGAGTTAACAGTATCTCTCCCCTCCCCCAAGCAGCTCACATTCCATCAAAACTACGTGGCAGACTTTATTTGTTAATAATATTTAACTTTCTTTGGCGCCTTCTCATACTTAAGCCTCTTTTTTTCAGGTTAGTTGTAGACAAGCCATGAATTTGTAAAAGTGCACTTGATGACACATTAATAGGACAATCTGTCATGTCCCAGCTAAACAGCCTGACAGCTCCACACACCACAGCAGGCAGGGACAGCCAGGGCTGGAGCAGGGCAAGGGCTGCTTTGGGCTCATCCCTCTGCCTGCAGCATCCTCTTCAGCCCACAGCCAAATCCCAACAATATCTCCTTGGATTTGGGGGAAATGAAGCCTAGATTTGCAAGCACAATGGGAATTCCTTGCTGGTCCTACCTGCTGTAGCTATTTCCCAACCACATCTTTCTCCCTGGGTTGGGGAGCATAGCTGTGACCTCTCCAAGCTCCAATTGAGCATCACAGTCAAAGCACCTGAGTCTTGCCAATGCATCCACAGCATTCAAACCCCTTTAGCCAAAAAACCAGAATCATAGAATCAACTGGGTTGGAAAAGAGCTCAAAGATCATCAAGTCCAACCCTACCATGGGTAGGTGGATATTGCTGTTCCTAGCAGAGAAAATCAAGGAGGAAGTGGGGGTGGATATTGCTGTTCATAGCAGAGAAAATCAAGGAGGAAGTGGGAAGTAACTACAACTACCTGAGGAGGTTGTAGCCAGGTGGGAGTGAGTCTCCTCCCCCAAGGAACAAGTGTGAGGATGAGAGGAAATGGCCTCAAGCTGTGTCAGGGGAGGTTTAGATGGATATGAGGGGGATTTTCTTCATGGAAAGGGTTGTAAAGCACTGGAACAGCTGCTCAGGGATGTGGTGGCATCACCATCCCTGGAAGTGTTGAAAAAACATGTGGATATGACACCTGAGGACATGGTTTGGTGGTGAACAATGTGGTGGTGCTGGTTGATGGTTGGACTTGGTGATCCTGAAGGCTTTTTTCCAACCATAATGATTCTGTGATGCCAAGAAAGACAAATAGTTTCTTCTTTGAGCTCGGCATCACTGGGGAAATAATGGGAAAGTTTAAAGAGCATAACAATATCAATTCTTCACGAGGAGAGTAGAAAATGCTGTAAAAAGCCACATTTCAGTTCAACCTGTGGGCAAGAGCCTGAACCCAATGTTTGCAAACACTCAGTGTGCTCAGAGCCAGGGAGGGAACTGAGGAGTCAAACCTTGTGATCTGATCTCTCCATCTCCACTTATGCAATTCACCTTTTACTCAAGACAGACCTTACCTAACTGTCTTCAGAATAATATCCAAAGGGTAAAAGGGCAAAAGCTGGGATTTTCCCAGAGTTATCTCTTGTAGATATATCAAACAACTCCTGAGCTTTGGCACAGAGCTGGGGGTTTTTTGAAGCCAACACAGTGGCTCACACA